GGAACCAGAATTCTTGCTGGTTGGTAGGGGATCAAATACTTATTTCACTCACTGAAATGCAAATCAATATCTAACCTTTATATAATGTTTTTTTTCTGGATTTTTTGGTTGGTATTCTGTCTCTTTCCATTAAAATAAACCTACCATAAAAATTACAGACCCTTCATTTCTTTGTAAGTGGGCAAACTTACAAAATCAGCAGGGGATCAAATAAATATTTTCCCCACTGTACGTCTTCTGAGCAGGCACAGTGCAGCCTTTATACTCTGTGCTTAGCTGTGTTGAGATGATTTTATACATTATGTGTATTAGTGCATCATGCGGTGCTTCGAAATGAATTCTGACCTCTGGTCCGATGTTTCCCTCGTCCCCTGGAGTACCAGGCTTCCCTGGGAGTCCCTGCATGAGTGAAGAGTGTTAAAAAGTCTAAATGTAAAATTAAAAGCTGAGAGTGAGACAAATCACAGTAAGACCAAGTTTTTTCACATACTGGAGGGCCAACAGTTTCTGGTCCCTAGAAAAAGAAAATACAAAAGTCAAATCTTCAAAATGAATCATTTGTCTTAAAACAGGCATTGTAAGATCATTTTTTTTGCAAGTAAATACAATCAAAAAGATGAGAAAACAATGATAAGACAACACAATGTCAACAGAACATGAACACATTTAGCATTGAAGGATCTGATTGTTTTCCTAAAAGAAGGAAAAGACTCACAGGGGGTCCGGCAGGTCCAGGGAAACCAGGGAGACCCTACAGACCCAACAAAACCAAATGTTAGCCCAATGACATTAACTCACACAGTTTCACAGTTTTTTAATGATCAAAACGACTGATTTTGTGTTGATAAGTTTCAGAATTGTTATATATATATATGTAATCAGGATGCCACATTTATTTTTAATTATGTATAACACTAGACAGATGTACAGTAGTCATACATGACAAAAAAAAATGCAGAAAGCTTGATTCAAACTAAATTCTAGAATACAAACTTCAAACAAGATATTTATTTTTGCTTATTTTTGCTGCTCTCACTTTAAAACCTAATGAAAATACTTAAAATATTGACACATCTGATTTTCTCTCATCTCTTTATGTTCACTTCAGAGATAACCAACTGCTTGTTCAAATACCCGCGAAGGCTGGCATTTTGACATAACTTGACTTTAGCACTACACTGAGTTATTTTTATTCATTTAAGAGTTAATTGAGAACTGTTAATAACTATGTTAAAACATTTTTTAAAAGAACATTTAAAGAATGTTTAAAGTGCTCTCTTTTTTTTTTTTTTACATCAATCACATCCCGCGCTCGATTGTCTCATTCATACGTTTTTTTATTATCACACTTACACCATTTTTAACAAAAAACAGAACATTGTTTAGGCATTTTAGCTGTTAATTTATACAGAATTTTGAAAACAGGTTTCAAAGTGCAAGTTTTTGAAAACGATACCATTATCGTCTCTGTGTAAATTATAAAAATGCAAATTTGTGAAAACGGTGATGTCATGCACATGTGCATTACGTGTCCAGTCTGTAGGTATGTGCACAGGCGTGTAGTGTTTCTTTACAGTAACATTGCCAACTACTGGCCTATCATGAATAATACAGGATTTCAGTCATTTTCGTGGATCCGTGAGAACGGGCATCGTTTTGACAACACTGTCGCCTGTATGTGAAACTCTTTAAAAAACGCAAAGGAAAATATTTTTAGTACATCGTTGTCTTGTAAATGTACCCTAACATGTCAATAACTTTAAGTAGTACTGTTTTTTTTTTGCAATTTTTTAGCAGCAAATCACAAAAAGTAACATTTTATTGACTTTGCGTTGTGTTTCATGATTGCTGAATCACGAAAACCGGAGGGACTGAACTCCGTATTCAATTACTAGGTTTAACTTCTTCACAACATAAATTTAAGCAGAAAGTTAAGGAATGGGGTCTATTAAGATCTCTTACTCTTTCTCCCACTGGTCCTCGTGGTCCCATGGGGCCCATCGGTCCCTACAAACATATAAAAAGAATCAATTACCACCATAGTGATTCATTTAGCACAATGTTAGTGTAAATATAACAGTTTGTGTAAAACTGATTTGCAAATCTGTAAAATATTGATTGTATCACTGGCTTAGGTTGTGTTATTAAGTGGTAAAGGCCATGTGTCTCAGTACTAACCATTGGTCCCAGGGGCCCCTGCAGTCCCCTCTGTCCTGGCAGTCCAATCTCTCCTCGATCTCCTTTACTGCCCTACAACACACACAGAAAGACAAAAACAGCTTTATCATCATTCAGCATCGACTGCAGCCGTTGCTAAGATACGGTGGGTCTATGCTAACATAATTAGCCATGCAGGACTCCTCTGTGCATCTGTCCTCATCTGATAGGACCAGAATCAGATCTGAGCAGCGTTTGACCTATTTATGACAGATGATGGTGCAATTCAACCACACTTTCCCTTAATAGATATTGACCCACTTTTTCTGTGTGAAAAAGTGTTTGCCCCCTAAACCTAATAACTGGTTGGGAAGCAGCTCCTGTCTTCCTGAACAAGAGAATAAATCCCTAATGAACTGCCTGAGATGAAAGAAGAACAAAGAAGAAGTGTTTCATTAGTTTGTGCTTAAGACGGAGCTGCTGAAGCCTAAGGAACAGCTCTAATGGAGTTTCACACGTGACTTGTAGTACAGGAAAAACTTTGGACCATAGAAGATATCAATTCAAAAGAGTATGAGTTAAAACGTATTGTACCAACTGATAATCATTTTGATTTGAGGATCGCTACATTGAATGAATAGGAAAATGTTGTTATGAAATGTTATGACAGTATATGTCATCAAGTTGCATTTCCTATTTTTCATTAAAAAAAAAGAATAATTAATTAATAATTAACAATTAAAATGAATAATAAATTAATACTAAATAAATAATAATATATTAAATTAATTAATAAGTAAATAATAAACTGAATTTCAATATCTGTTCATCCCTCTTCCCAACTCTAGCCCAAACTAGTGTGAATCTTGTAGAGCATGACCTCCTGCAGAGTTTAAGAACAATGTCTTCTTGAAGATGTTCCTCCAATGTTTCGCACTTACCAGAGCTCCAGGAGTGCCCGGAGTGCCTGGAATACCCTGAAGAACAGAAAAAAAGGTGAAAAGGACACTATGTGTTAAAAACAGTAAGTCAGTGAGACAGGACAGAGGTATTGACACAAGAAAATCTCTAATAAGCAGCTCCTGTCTTCCTGAACAAGAGAATAAATCCCTAATGAACTGCCTGAGATGAAAGAAGAACAAAGAAGAAGTGTTTCATTAGTTTGTGCTTAAGACGGAGCTGCTGAAGCCTAAGGAACAGCTCTAATGGAGTTTCACACGTGACTTGTAGTACAGGAAAAACTTTGGACCATAGAAGATATCAATTCAAAAGAGTATGAGTTAAAACGTATTGTACCAACTGATAATCATTTTGATTTGAGGATCGCTACATTGAATGAATAGGAAAATGTTGTTATGAAATGTTATGACAGTATATGTCATCAAGTTGCATTTCCTATTTTTCATTAAAAAAAAAGAATAATTAATTAATAATTAACAATTAAAATGAATAATAAATTAATACTAAATAAATAATAATATATTAAATTAATTAATAAATAAATAATTAAAATGAAATGAAAAATAAATGAAGCATTTGCCATTTTTGTGTATAATACACATCAGATAGCCAGTGAACACTGTTGGCAATTTCTCATATGAACATATCAAGAGGACTTTTCAAAATTTGTATTAGTCAAATCTTTTAATGAGCAGAAAGACTTGCATCTCTCCCGTCTCTGCCAGGTTCTCCTTGGGGTCCACGAAGCCCCTCAGGACCAGGGGGACCAGGGATCGGCTTGGGATCCGGCTGTAACAGGTTGAAGGTGCAAAAGAAGGAAAACGATGAGTAAACATAAACATGAACGTTTTAGAATTCATTCGATTATTTGCTTTACCAAATATAATCAATGTTTCACTGAACGTCAAAATCAATAACTGGAAAGGCTGCAAATAATCACTCTCTCCCAAGAACCATAATTACTTTACATTTAGAATTTTGGGGCCAATTTTATTCTCTATCTATATAAATGAACTTGGTAAAGGAGTTGAGCCAGCAAATGTTCACTTTTATGCAGATGATACTATCATCTACACTATGGCTCCATCTTTAAAAGTGGCAATGGACTCAGAATGCTTTTAATTCATTTCAGACTTCTCTTGGTAACTTAAAATTAGTGTTAAATGCTAAAAAAACTAAATACATGATTTTTACACAGTCCAGATTATCATTAAATGATTTTATGATTCAAACTTTAAATGGTACACAGATTGAAAGGGTTGCATCTTACAAATATCTTGGTATCTGGCTCGATGATAAGCTGACTTAAAGTTCCCATATCGATAGTCTTTTAAAGAAATTGAGACCAATGTTAGGTTTTTATTTTCGTGAATAAAAATAAATTAAGTGTTAAATGCTAAAAAAACTAAATACATGATTTTTACACAGTCCAGATTATCATTAAATGATTTTATGATTCAAACTTTAAATGGTACACAGATTGAAAGGGTTGCATCTTACAAATATCTTGGTATCTGGCTCGATGATAAACTGACTTATAGTTCTCATATCGATAGTCTTTTAAAGAAATCGAGACCGACATTAGGTTTTTATTTTCGTTCAAAAAAATATTTCTCCTTTGTTGCTCGAAAACGTTTAGTAGAAAGTACTCTTCTATCAGTATTGGACTACGGTGATATAATTTATATTCATGCACCTCTGAATGTTTTGAAAAAATTGGATGTAGTTTATCATGCTGCTTTACGATTTGTTACTGGTACAAGTGTCCGCACACATCACTGTAATTTATATAAAATGACAAAATGGACTTCATTGCGCTTAAGGAGAAAAAAACATGTTAATTTTTATTTTAAAAGCTTTAGTGGATAAATTACCACAGTGTATATCTAGTTTGTTGACATATTGCACAAATATTTATAATACCAGATCAACAGATAAACTCTTACTTAAGATGCTGATTTTTCATACAGAGATAGGTCGTTCTGCTTTTTCTAATTATGCTCGTATGGAAGGTACATTACATATGGAATCTGTACCATCTCTGGCTATGTTTAAAAATATTTTAAAGTCTGTTTACATAGAACAGTGTACATGTTTTAATAACTGACTAGGATTTGTATTGTTTTTAGAAAATTGTGTTTTATGTGTATTTCTTTGTAACTTTGTCCTTTGCTGTCTATCTTGACCAGGACTCCCTGGTAGAAGAGATATTGTATCTCAATGGGACCTTCCTGGTTAAACAAGTAAATAAATAAATTTAACACAATAAAGAATAAACTATAAATCATTAGCTCTCTGCTGCCAACTTCCCTTTATTAGCTTAAGCTTCAAGCAAGCTAAGGAACAACACATTTAGAAAGTAATTTGGATGGTTAATTAAAATTCCCAGAACATTTCTTAATAAAATAACACATTATTTACTTGGTGGCATTAATAACCTCTAGCATATAAATGCATAAAAGCTGTTCCGGGTCTTGTTTTGTTGATTGCAGTAAGTATAGCAGGTAGCAAATGAGTCAATTCAGCAACAAAGCATTGTAGTAGATTATCTGCTTAAATAATAATTTATTAATTGATTAAAAAAATAAAAACAAAGTAAAAAAAAATCAAATACCTCAGCATTGGCATACATCTGAAGAAGCAAGAGAGAGAGAGAGAATTGAGATTATTGCAGTTAGTGAAAATGAAACCCCTTCACCAAAAAGAGAAAGCACACCTGTAGATGGCGCCACAACATGCGGCCTATGATACCGCCCCGCCGGCCAACTCATCCAAAAACAAAGCAAATGCATGAACAATGTTCAATGGAAAAGTGAGATGTTATGAGGTCTTTTGAAGAAACTAGCTTTTCCAGACTGCCATAGCAATAATCTATCAATATTTTTTAGGCCATACCTTGGTTATGCAGCACATATATTAGAATAATACTGCTGATTATTTATGCAGAATTGTAAATAAAGTTTTAACTTGTACAATTATATTTGCCATTTCAAAAAACTAATTAAAAGGATAGTTCACCCAGAAATGAAAATTAAGTCCTTGTATGGGTTTCTTTCTTCTGTTAAGAACAAAGGATGATATTTTGAAGAATGTTGGCAACCAAACTGGTAGCCATTGAATTACATATTATT